GGCGGCGGGGGAAATGAGTGGGTTAATTCCATTTTCCAAAATTCACTTGGGAAAGGGAACTTACCCTTTAAAGCTTTAGACACAAAATATTTACATATTACTGATCTCTGTTACATGTATATAAGACAATAAAAACATTGTAAAGTCTCTATATTCCTTTGAACACGTCAGGCTGATAACATTTGCACGTGTAACTAAAAAATGTGATAGGACTGCAGCTTCTGTTAACCACGGGGACATGTTTCTCCAGATCCAGCAGAAGAACATGCAGGAGATCCTCGCCAACCTGACCAAAATGGAGCAGAAACACCAAGACTCGCAGCATTCCCTGGGCGTTCACCTGAATAACGAGAACCAGAAGCAGAACTCGCTGGTCACTCAGCTAAAGCAGATGGTGGCAGAGAGGGAGGCCAAGGTGAAAGATCTGGAGGAGGAAATCCAGCAACTGACCACCAAGGTATGACTTAGATGGACCTCTCAGTAACAAGTCGGCATGAATACATTCCTGACCTGTCACGATATACAGCTACAGTAGAGCTGCACCTTTCATCGTTAAAAAAGCCATCTCCGAACTCCACTTTAGTGACTCAACATTGTAACATTGCAGCAAATCACAAGGTGAGAGGCTGCAGCAGGGGCTGATCTGTGCTAGGCATTTGTGGACTCGTGCAACAACTGCACCGGTGATCTATCAAAGATTGTGACTGAGTTGGAATGTGTGACTGGTCACACATTTTAACGTAATCACGTCCACTTCCGTGGTGGGATATGTCACCGGCAAAAGGTGAAGGATTCCAACACTTTCTCAGCTGTTTCAGGACAGACCGGCATCGCAGATGGTATGTGCAGGAGAACCGATCTACCCTGGAACAGCTGATCGGTCCTGAAATGTCACTTCTATCCGACTCTGTGGAATGTGAGATTGCACTCACAAAGTTACATTTCAGGACCGATCAGCGGTTCCAGGGCAGATCGGTTCTCCTGCACATACGATCTGCGATGCCGGTCTGCCCTGGAACAGCTGAGAAAGCATTGGAATTCTTCACCTTTTGCCGGTCACTCATTCCACCGCCGAAAAACTGGGCGGGATTAGGTTAAAAAACACAACTTTTGATAGAACACTGGCACCAGGATCAATATGATTGTGTCCTGTCTGAGCCGCCATCTCAGTCCAGGAAGTATATTGTGATCCTGTATGATGCCAGAACAAAGATGGCTCCATTTTCTGAAGGGAAAAGCAGAAGAAGGTATTGTCAGGGGGAGTCATGTGATCTCTGTTAGAGATAATAAATACCTGTGAGTGTTAAACTGAGACATTATTTAGCATGCGTGACCTTTAGATAAAAGATATATCTGATGCAGACTCTTCTGTACAGTCCCTTTCTCACACAAAGCCTTCACTGCCCACTAAAGTTCACATATTTGGCAGCTGCATGATAGGGGGGAGAGGGCTTAGTACAGAGAGGAAATGGGCTTAGTTATAGGCTGGCACAGGTACTTGCAGGCTGCACAAGGTGTCCGCACTTCAGTGCTGTTATACTTAGTCAGGGTAACTTTAACCTGAGTCCAACCCCTAAGACTAACCTTAACTTCACATGAAGTGTATACTGTGTCGGTGATAGATACTACATTATGGCAATGGTCACTGTCATGTTTTGGTGCCTATGTGCAATGTACGAATGACCTCTTTGGAGAAATCTGCTGCGCTTTCAGTTGACCTCCAGCTAGGGGGCGCTAAACTCTTAACATAGGATAGGTTATAGCACAGTAAAGCCAAAGGTATTTACATGTCTCATTCCATCACATATCTAAAGGAGTTGAGGATTATTACTCATTTTGGGACAGTAGGCGGAGCCATGCAAATGATTGCGTTACACTCTATCAGCCAGATGCATATACAGAACGGCTGGTGTACAGTGCAAATGTAACCTAATATTATACATCGGATCGCATTCAACTTTATGAACCCGAACATAGCACATTGCAGCCCCTCCGTGTATGTCCACTCGCAGGGGCGGAACTACTCCCGGTGCAGCCAGTGCGGCCTGAGCCTGGGGGGGGGGGCGGCAGACACAGGCACCAGCCCCGTG